CCTGGGGATTAGGCAGGTTTTTTTCTTCTATTGAATTATTAATGAGGGGCTGCTGGGGGTGATTAGCAAGTTCATTGCTTGTGAACAGAGAGAACTGCTCCTGTCTGTACTCCTGCACTCTGAAGATGCCGGTCACAGGTGCTGGCGACACATTAGGAAACAAAACTTCAAGACCACGGCCACACAGCCCGGAAGACTCACACCAGCCATCGGGACAGTTTCCTCACTTGGTTTCAGCCAGGCCCAGGGCAGTACTCCAGGGGAACCCAAAGCAAAATGGGGCTAGGCTCCTCTGCTTTAAAGCTTGTCTGAGGAGGAATCTTCCCACTCCCTGACTGGTTTATTTCATTTTCATTTATTTACAAAAAGGCATAAGCTTTTCCTTTTAATAAAGTGTGTTAGAAAAAGTGCTACCAGACCCCTCCTGATTTTTTGCTACCAGCTAGGTAGCAAAGGCCTTTATTTCTGGGCATCTGAAGCTCTTGGGCTCAGATTTCCTCCCATTCACTCTACAAGCAAAATAAATGCAAGGCCCGTATTATGAATTGATTTGGAGTTGGGCGGTGTCTAAGTCACCTTATTTGTTTCTGAAATTCTGGAATGGTTCAATAACTCTTTCTATACTCTATCCATCAATTCACGTCACCTAACGGAATTTGTCCCTCTGATTGTAGCCACTCAGAACGTTCCACAATTTTCCCCAAACCTTTTATTTAGTTCTTTCATTATCACCATCCACTGGAGTATATCCACAACAGCATAGATGATATCAGTTTGTACTTTCTGATACATGTTTTAGTCCTTTCATAATTAAACCTACACCTTCACTTCCATGCATGTTTTCATCAGTGTCACTCCACCAGATCTTCAGATCTAGTACATCCTTTGTTTCTCTGAGTTTCCAGAGATACAACGTATCACTGGCCTTCCCTTCATTTCATGTTACTTCATGCTCTCTGCCACATACAAAGATGCAACCTCCCATATGCCACGGGAGCTAACAGACCCTCCACTGCCCACTGTGGCTTTGGTCAGCCAAGGCTTTTGCATCATGGTTTTTAGTAAAATAAAAGTTACCCATGCATCATTTCCCACCAGCAGTAAGGAAACAATGTTTCAGCACGCTTCAGCCAGGCTGCCCCAAGTGCAACCAAAGCCCATTTTCACCTTAAGCATTCTCGTGCTACTCCAGGCAAGCTAGGATCAACACGCTCAAAACCACCTGGGACAGCAACATATCAAGAATCTGGCGATTGGGAGCAGGAGCACCAGGCGCTGTAGCATCTCAGCTACAGAAGGTAGCTTGGGACCAGTCCCTCACTCTCTGCCCAGCTTACCTCAAAAGGTTGTTTTTGTGGGGGGAAAATAGGAGTGAGCGTTACCTATGCTGTCTTGAGCTCCTCTGCAAAGAGGGAACATAAATCTAACCAATCAATATAGATGCCACCTAGCACTAACCCTCAGAAGGCCCAGCTTCAATCGAATTGGTGAAATTCACTTCCTCTACCAAAAGCCTCTATGCAGGGGAGATCTCCTGGATTCTAAAATTCAATTATTTGAAGCTGAAATTGCAGAAAATTGATTCAAGACTCCAGATCCTTCTTCAGGTAAAACGTTAGAAAAACTAGAGGGAAGGACAGAAAAAAGGCTGACAGTGTTTTTCAAGTCAACTTGCTTATTCGTGGTTTACTGAACAAACCATGTGTGGCTGGCCCACACTATACACTGGGCTGTAAAGCGCAGGCGCAATTCACAAACAAGTTAATCATCCCCTATCAAGCAAGCCAAATGTTGGCTTAGCGTTGGTGCTGAATCCGGCTTATTGTCTCTAAAGAAGAGCCGGGAGCCTAGCCTGCTCCCGTCGCGGCGCCCGCGGTTATTCAGAGAAGGCCGCTCCGCAAACGACCGAGCGCAGAGCTTCCGACGGGCTTCTGCCTTCCATTCCAACGGAGCGAGGTGTCTCCGGGTGGTGACGGAACCAAGATGTTTGGCTCCTCTCCTGTTCACCCCGGAGGTCGCGGCGGGCGGGTTGCGCGGCGCTTTGCACGCTTTCCTGTAAAGCTCCCGGCTGCTTTCCAAGCCAGAACAAGAGCCCTTTTTTTCGCCCGCTGCCCCTCCCCCGTACTTAAGGGGCGCCCCCTGCGGTCTCGCG